CCCCAAAACCCCAAAACCCCCAAAACCCCAAAACCCCAAAACCCCATTACTCAGATATGTAGCAAGTATCAAAGTTTCTATCATTATTAATAGTTTTGATTAATTGAAAATAATCACGCGTGAAAAAATGTATAACAAAAATCCCTCAAGATACCCTTAGCCAGGAGGTGGAGCAGCACCTGATCAATAGAACTACTAGCATGCGGATGCATATGGATAATAGCAATAGTATAATAACGCTCAATATGGAGCTAATACATATAATGCAGCCCAGACTGCTTAATATTAGCAATATCAGCAGAATGATTAGAATAATCAGCAGTATTAGACGACATAGAATGATCAATACAACTATCAAAATAACGAAGTTAAAGCAGTAAGTTGATCATTCTATCTAATTAGTGACCTAATAAATATATAGTATGGATAATAGGAGTAGTATTATGGAAATGATGGAGTTAACTAGCCTGATTAAAATTAGTTCTAGGGATATGATCAATATTCTGGAAATCAATAGACACAACCATAGTCGATGGGGAAAACTTCAGGAGCAATAACACAATAGTTTTAATAGCAAAATTAATAGCAGGTATTTCATAATCTATATTGGACTTAATTTTTGTGTTCAGACTAACAATTATGGAAGTCAGCCTCAAACTGCTAAAAATTCCTTAGAGGAATTTAATTCTGACAAGAGTTTGTTAAGAATGACGACAGACAGAGTACCAAATACAAACACGCTATAAAAGGAGATAGCTCTTCCTCTAGGAGTTATAGTCAAGCCTTATGGAGACCTACCCACTGTAAACATTTATAATAAATTATATTATTACCAGGGAGAGGAAACACCTTCTGTGTCATTTGGACAAAAGCCAATTGTAAGATGCAAGGATTGCCGTGCGTATGTAAATCCTTTTATAAGGTTTATTGAGAATGGGATGAAATGGATCTGCAATATTTGTGGAGATATCAACCCAACTGACAACTACTACTACTCTCCATTGAATTCAGTCGGATTAAGATAGGATTATGAAGATCGTGTTGAACTAAGACAGGGTTCAGTAGACTTTGTTGCAAGCAATGAGTATATGAACAGACCGCCTATGCCACCAACTTACGTGTTTGTTTTGGATGTCTCAAAGCCTGCTATAGACACTGGATATCTTTAACTAGCAACTTCAACAATAAAATCAGTAGTTGAAAATAAACTATTGCCAGGAGGAGAAAGAACTAGAATTGGATTTATCACATATGACTCAAGCGTGCACTTTTATAATCTAAGATCTACTTTGAAGTAACCACAGATGTTTGTGACGACTGATACTGAGCAAATATTTATTCCCTAGCCAGTAAGTTTGATTATAAATCTAAATATATTAATAGGAAGACTTAGTTGTCAATCTAAGCGACAGCTATGATTTAGTGATAAATCTTTTGGATAATTTACCTTAATATTTCGTTAAAACTCAAGTCATTGACAACTGTTTCGTATCAGCACTTCAGGCGGCTAATTTAATAACAAATTCAATTGGAGGCAAATTGATATTTTTCTAATTAGCTCAAACTATAATTAAGCATCCAATGCTTGCTCCTAAAACACTCCCAAATACTGCTGAACGTATAGACCTAGTTAATTCCACCAACCCCTATTTTGCCAATACTGGCACTGAACTAGGTCATTTGCATATGTCCTGTGACTTGTTCATTTTCACTCATGGCAAGAATTAATACAAAAATTTGTAGACTTTCGCTGACTTAGCTAGAAAATCATCTGGAAACCTATTTTACTATTAAGACTTCAATTCAAGGACTTTTGGTCTGAAGTTCTCAAATGAACTTTATCACAGCTTAGTCAGAAGAACAGCGTGGGAAGGTGTCTTTAGAATCAGAACTTCAGCTGGGTTCAACCAAATCAGATCATTTGGAAATATTCAAATAAAATAAAAAACTGCCGATTTGATACTTTGTCCTAGTATAGATAGCGATAGAGTTTATGTTTATGAAATTGAAAAGAATGATTTGCATACTGAGGATCCAAATAGATTAGCAAGGAGAGACTGCTCTCATATTTATCTTTAAACAGCTCTTCTTTACTCTACATCAGAGGGGGAAAGACGAATTAGGGTACATAATACTGCAGTACCATTGACAAATATGAAGCACTTACCATTTGAATTCATTGATGTGAATGCTACAACTCATTATTTCGCAAGAGCAGCTCTCAATATTGTAAGACTTTTTTAAAGCTAATGCCTGATTTTAGCTTCAAACTAATTTGAACTTCACTGTATGCAGAGGAATGATTGAAATGAACTTGACCAATCTATGCAGGTCAATGCTAAAATCTCAGCAATCAATAAAGCAATCTCTTCCCGATAATATTCAGTACTTGGTTCTCTACGTACTGGGACTTCTCAAATCGCAGTTTATGACTCCAACCAAGCAAATAGTCCCAGGGGATGCACTAGACTATCTGAATTACCTAAGATTCGCAATCAATTCTATGAGTCCAGAGGAAACTTTGCCTCTATTCAATCCATAAATAATCAATATTGCAGACTACAATCTTGATGACTAAAATTTCCCCTAGTTAGAAAACTTGGACAGAGCATCCATACTTCCATCCAACATCTATCTATGCTATAATGGCCTTGCTTTATATTTCTTTGTTGGCACAGATTGCGATCCATTCTTCATTTAAACTATCTTCAAAGCAAATGATATTGCTCATATTGATCGCCTAATATCAGAAGAGGAAATCTTTGCTGGGTATGAGACCACTCCATATCTAAATTCACTTTACAATATCGTAACTTCATTCAGATATCAGAGATAGCCATACGTTGAACTTAGAGTATTAATTAATGGAGATGCCGAAAGCGAAAGCATTCTTAGAAGTATGCTGGTAGTCGATAATTAAAACTCAGGCTACCCTATGGACTTTACTAAATTTTTAGCTACTATAACTGGAGGTGGTGGGCTTCATGGTCCAGGAGCTGCTGTTGGTGGTGCTCCTGCTGCATATTACTGAAATTAGAATAAGTGATATTCAATAAATGCTATTTCACAATTATCCATCGTCTTTTCATTGAGGGGTTTTGGGGTTTTGGGGTTTTGGGGTTTTGGGG